AAGGGTCTTCTTCTGGATCAACCAGGGACTTTGCAGTGACCCTGGGATCAGCAGAACGCACCCCTTGCTATCACCGTCTCTACGGGACGGTTTAGGTCCATTAGGACTGACCAGGGGCGAAGATATCAGCTGCGATCTCAGAGCCCCGAGATTGCAGCTGTATTGCAGCGATGTGGCTCTGCCTTTTCCGGCACTATGATCTTCACCAGGATTGAAAAGGGGCTGATGGCTCCACTTACTCCTCTTCATCCTCACTCTCGTAAAGGGTCAGCTGCTGGTCCTCCTCAGTTGGGGATCCCTCCCCCTCACTGATAGGGGAGGAAACCTCTATGACCTGGTGTGCCACATTTTACTTCTCTTGCTCCTTCTGCTGAAGCTTCTTTGCCTTGGCAGTGGTAGGGGCCCTTGCTGCTGATTGGGGAGCAGTTGCCAGGTACTCAGCTGCCCTATGGCACTGCTGGCCATACTGGAAGCACAAGACAGCCTCATGGCCTAGGGTGTTGGGGAAACAGCTGCCTGGGTGGATGTGTTGTGGTTAGCCGGCAGCAAGTGCAGATGACTGAGGAGAGTGAGGACTCTGATGAGGGGCCAGGACCATCAGGGAGTGGACTGCTGCCTTCAGAGATTGTGGGGGCTGGCAGCAGTGATGAGGAGGTTCCCGAGGAGCCTGTGCCAAGTGGACATGAACAAAGGATTACTTGGAGGAAAGAACAATTACAGCAGCACAGGTGACTCAGGAGTAAGGCTGCAAGGTAATGGCCCTTCCCTCAACAGGATAAAAGCCAGGTTTGAAAAAGCATTCTTTGCAGAAAGCAAAGAAGCTCTGAAGTTCAACTTGTGGACATCTTAGTTCATGTTTGGAGAATCTTGTAAATTAGTTCTTATCTCTGGATTTTTGGCAGCATTGATGAACAACTTGGCAAGGCTCTTTCTTGTTGGAGCTAATTAGTGGAAAGCAGCTTTTTATCTGTAAAGGAACAGCATTCGTTATTAAACCTTGAAAGGTGGGAGCTGCTGCCTTTGTCTGTGTTTGCTCTTTGGGAACCTGGTTGGGTCAGAACAGGATGCTGGCCTCTGTCCCAGTAGGTGTCTTTCTTGGCTCCTCTTTGGTTTGGCTTCAGGGATACCATGCTTCTTGTATTCTCTTATGTTGAGATCCACCACCATCACCATACAATACCAATCACGGATCCAGTTGAGTATTCTCTGGGACAGGAAGGTGTGGAATAGCTCTCAATTAAAGCCATCTTTGAAATGGCAGACCAGTAGCTGCTCTGGCCAGTGCCTTAACTTGCCTGCAACTCTTCAGAACTCCTGGATGTATTCTTCCACCAGTCGGTTCCCTTGTCTAAGAGCCTGTATTTCTGATTCAGCTTTCCAGATTTGGGTCTCATCTTCAAATCTGTCTCTAAATCCTCTATGAAGTCATCAGTTTTCCCTAGCTCCAGTGCCTCTACATTGTAGAGGCCCATCACCCACTCTGTCACATCTCCTTTGAGGTTAGCAGTCATGGCATTCACCATTGCCACCTCATTGAGATAGACTGGGACGTACTGGCCCAGGTGGGCTCATATCTTTGTCATTTGTGTTCTAATTTCTGGCTCTGCATTCATGCTCTCTATTTTATTCAAGATCTCCCTACATCTTCTTGTCAAAGTATTCTTCATATCCTGGGTTTCCAACGCAATTTCTTCCCAAGTTCTACTTATCTTTATTTTTGTCTCTTTTATTTCTTTTTGTCCAATAATCCAACAATCTTTTATTCAAACCAAAGTCACTTTTCAGACAAAGAATTCAATGTCAAATGTCCATGAGTCTTTGTATCCCCAAGTTAGTAAGTCTGTTCTTCTATATAATCCAAAAGTGGAATCAGACTATATTGAAACTTTCCAGGGTCTTTTTAATAATAAAAGTTTCCCTTTAAATCTTCCAAAGCCAGGTCTTTACAGGATTTTTAGGAATATATTGCACCTTCCTTTGACAGCAGGTGGCACTCTTGCATCAGTATTCACTTTATCTTGTCTTTCTTATTTCTTGTTCAAGAATTTTACTCAAATTCTCCAAATGGAAATATGATATTAACTTTTTATATAAGTAGTTCCAGCATTTTACAATGCCTATCCACAGCAATGTTTGTCCAATTTAAAAGTCCAATTTTCTGTATTTTTAGCAAATTTTCTGTTATCTTCTTTTCCCTTCCATTTTAAAATCTTAAGATTTTACTCCCAGTGTTAGGTCGCTGCCATCTTGGCTGCCTCTTCTTCTTGCCATGGCACAGAGGGTAAAGAAAGCCCTGGGGCCCTGCAGGGGAGTTGCGTTCTCCCCTGGAAACTTGCAGGATGCCCCTCTTTTGCTTCACCTCTCATCCAAGGTGGTTTTGGCTTTTTCTGGAGCCCATGAGTAAGGGGAAGCTGGTGCAGGGACAGAGAGCTCCGTTCCCTTGTAATTGATATCGCCACAACATCACTTCTGGTTTGGAAACTTTGGGACATACCTAATAACTTCAAATAATCCTGCCAAAATTTAGACATAAACTGCACCCTTGATCAGAGCTAATTCTCTCCAGGGCTCCATGGAGCCTATACACATGTTGCAGAAAGAGTTTTGCTAGAGTTCATGCCGAGAATATTTTGGGGCAAGTCATGAAATGCAGCTGTTTACAGAAGAGGTTGGTAATGACCAAAATCATGGTGTTTCTGAAACTTTTTGGTAGTTCCACAATAAAGTACATTGGACTCTTGCCTGCTGAAGACCTCTTCCAATCCACTATATACCTCAGGATATGAGAAATTGACCCTGTTGGTGAGTAACTGCCACATCTTCCCCTTTTACTATCTTAATAGCGGGTGTGTGGCAATTCAGCTTTACTTTATGGGCTTTATGGGCTTTTTCTCAGAGTGCCTAGAATGAGCTGGAAGGGACCTTGGAGGTCTTCTAGCCTCCTATACTATTTCAGATAAGTGACTATCTAGACTGTTCTTTAAAATATCCAATGATGGAGCACCCATGATTTCTGGAGGCAAGCTGTTCCACTGGTTAATTGTCCTCACTGTTAGGAAGTTTAGGAAGTTAGGAAGTTTCTTCTTAATTCTAGGTTGCTCCTCTCTTTGATTAGTTTCCAACCATAGTTTCTTGTCCAGCCTCTGGTGCTTTGGATAATAATTTGACCCCCTCTGCTTTGTGGCAGCTCATCAAATACTGGAATACTGCTAGCATGTCACCCCTAATTCTTCTTTTCTTTAGACTAGCCAAGCCCAAATCCTGCAACTATTCTTTATATGTTTTAGTCTCCAGGCCTTTGATCATCTTAGTTGCTCTTCTCTGAACTTTTTCCAAAAACTCAAAATCGTTTTTATAGTATGGTGACCTAAATTGGTTGCAGTATTCCAGTGTGGTCTTACTAGGGTTTTATAAAGTGATACTAATACTTCATGTGATCTTGATTCTATGCCTCTATTGATACTACCCAGGATTAATTTTTTTTGGCTGTTCCTGCACACTGCTGGCTCATATTCAAGTGATCATCCACTAGGACTCCAAGGTCTCTCTCACAGTTACTGTTTTTGAGCCAGGTCTCTCCTAATCTGTATTTATACCTTTAATATTTCCTGCCTAAATGTAAAACTCTGCTTTTCCCCACACTAAAATTCATTTTGTTGGATAGGGCCCATTGTTCAAGTTTAACAATCTTTTAAAAGTTTCTTCTTCCAGGGTATTGATGGGTTCTATTTTTTCAGCCAGGAAACCCCAAGTATTATCGGGTCAGTCATACCAGAGCCCATGATAAAACTTATAGTTTCCTTGTAGGACTGTATCTTTAATTTTATGGTTCTGTTAAAAACGTGGCAGGGCTCTGTCTGCTAGGGTCCCATCCACTTGGGAGAATGCTAGGAAAATACATATATACAATGTACCATGAGGGATTCATTGGAAGGAAAACTTCATAACAGAATAGCTTCATATTTGAGGATGCTTTTTGCAAGCAGTAATTGCAAAATGATGGCATATCAATATTTTTCCAATCAGGTATTACCCCCCCCCTTCCCTAATAGCAATATAATGTTTGCACAGTGCTGTGGATTTCCCTTCTAAACAATGCTTATCAAAGGTGTCTGGATCAGGACACACAAGCCCAGGTGGGAGCAGGACTAATGCAAGCACTGAATCCAGGAGCATTCTGCCAATGAGAACACCACCATCCACAAATTTTACCCAACTGTAGTATTACAAAAGGAAAAACAAAAATCACTTTGCTTTGGTTTCAAATAAATTGGTACTGAGCTGGAAATAATCAGTTCCTTTAACCAGCTGCTGCTGTAAATTTGAACTTCTAAATTGAAAAACATTCAGATAGAGCTATGTCTAATCTCATCCCTTATTTTTCTACTTACCTTGTTATTCATTTCCTCATTCTCTTTTTTGCAAGTTATGCCCTTTCCTTTGTGCTTTTGATTTGTTTTCCTTTTTAAATCTTACTGTTAATCTGTTACAATTAGGTTAAGTTAAATGAGGAATCTAGCAATAAATGAATTATTGCTAGATTTCTCAGCACTTGAAGACTTGAATGGGTTTTGGGTTTGTTTTGTCCTCTTTTGTTTTATTGGTAAAGTCCTTAGCTGGAAAGGGATTATCTGCTATCTTCTGTATAGTTTCCTTGGCTGATCATAAATTAAACAAATTAACAGATTTAGAATTAATTAGTAGATACTTGGATGGGAGATGCCCAAGAAAGAATAGACTGTAGATTAGACTGAGAAACTCTCAGAGGGCAATGGCAAACTATTTCAGTATGATTGTCAATACAATCCAGAAGGGCAAGTTAAACAGGTTCAAATACAAAGTTATAGTATTTTGTTGGTAAAAATCCAAAGCCCATCTTGCTGATGAATGTACTGGAGATCTAGCATAAAATTTGCAAAATCTGAATTACAAGTGGTGCTTAGGAATTAAAGTACCTGAGACTCAAAATGATGATTCTCATTTTATCACATCATGCCTAGATCTAACTGCAACTGATGATACTAAAGATATCAGCGCTGAGTTTACAGATAGCATTGAAGAGGAAGTACAGAATGGCTCTCACCTACAGGTAAATCCTCAAAGCATTCAAAATGGGATATCTGCAATGGTGGTAAGAACAATGACGTGAACTATGCAAATTCTGAAAGTTTGGGGAACAAGGTGAACTTGAATACACAAGGGTAGATACAGTATAGTTGCTGTTACTGAAACTTGGTGGGATGAAACCCATGACTGGAACATACTGATGGAAGGATACAAGTATTTTAAAAAAATACAGATGCCATAAAAGAGGAGGTGGAGTTGCATTATATGTAAAAGACCACTATATTGCAACAGAAATGTATGAAATCAAAGACAAAAATCTCCTAGGATGCATATGGGTCAATATATAAAAAAAAGAATGACATGGCCATAGGTGTATACTACAGGCCACCCAACCAAGCAGAAAAAAAATGTACTTTTTGCTAACCAACTAACAAATGTATGTAGGAAACACACTACATTAATAATGAGGGGCTTTAATTACTCTGATATAAACTGAAAGCCTAATTCTGCATCAACTGAGAGATTGAACAAGTTCCTGACCAACCTTAGCTAACAACTTTGCCATCTGAAAGGTAGAGGAGAGAATTAGAGGAACAGCCATACTGGACTTAATTCTTACTAACAGAGAAAGGATAGAGGGAGTTGAAACCACAGGAACCTTGGGTGAGAGTGACCATGTCATACTAGAATTCAACATAATGCAAATACAAGCAATAGAACACAACAATACCTAGATCCTAGATTTTAAAAGAGCTGATTTTAACAAACTCAGACAGAACTTGGGAAAGATTCTTTGGATGAAAATCTTTAAGGCGAAAACAACCCAAGAAGCTTGGGAAACTGAAAAATATTATCATAAAAGCCCAATTAAGCTGAAAAGCCCACTACCACTGAAAAAGAAAAACAGGAAATCCAAGAAGAAACCAGCATGGCTGCACAAAGATCTCTCTGACAAATTTAAAGACAAAAAGGACATGTACAAAAAATGGAAAGAAGGACACATAACTAAGGGAGAATATCATCAGATAGCCAGAATCGGCAAAGATGAAGTCAGGAAAGCAAAGGCTCAGAATGAACAAAGACTTGCAACAAAAGTCAAAGATATTTTTTTAAAAGTTTCTTCTAACATATAAATAACAAGAAAAAAATCAAGGAAAGTGGGTCCACTAAAGAGAGAAGACAGCAAAGAAGTAACAGGCAGCAGAGAGAAAGCAGAACTGTTTAACTCATTCTTTGCATCGTGGTCTTCACGCAAAGAGAAACTATAGCTCAACCTTCCAAGAACTTAGTAATCAATGGACATTGCATGGTGGCCACAAATGCAGATACAATCTCGATATGAGAAAGATGCTAAAATGTATGGTTTTAATAAAGAATTAACAGATTTGGACCAGATACTAACTGGAATGGATGAAAAACTGATAAAGAAAATATATTGTTACTTATTAGGTATTAAATTTGAAAGTGAGCAGGTAAAGGAGACAATGATTGTTTGGGCTAAACATTTTGGATATGCAATAGAACTGGATAAATGGCAGAAACTGTGGGTAGAAATGTTAAATTGACTATGTCAACTGCATATAAAGAAAACTTGTATAAAATGTTCTATAGATGGCATTTTGCACCAACAAGTCTGGCAAAAATGTTTAAAGATAGATCTGCTAAATGTTGGAAGTGCGGTCAGATACCTGATTCATACCACCATATGTGGTGGACATGCCCAAAGGCTGAAAAATATTGGACAAAAATATATACTTGGTTGGAAAAAATGATAAATCAGCATATAGACTTGAAACCAGAAATATATTTATTGGGCATCCTGTCAGAAAAACATGATAAAAGGACTATATATTTGATTTTACATGTATTAACTGCAGCCAGAATTGTATTTGCACAACAATGGAAGTGTGACGAGATCCCAACAGATGAGAAAGTAATTAAGAAAATATTAGAACATGCAGAAATGGATAGATTAACACTATTAAGGAAAAAGAAGAAACTGAATATTTCTTGATATGGGACCTATTTTACTATAGATAATAAAAACAGGTTAGAAATATGGAGATTTAAAAAGGATAAATGTTAAAATGGAGATTTGTTAAAGTAGATGTTAAATATTATTATTATAATATTAATCTTATTTGATGAATACTACTGTAAACATCTTGATTATGATTGCCTTAAAACAATTGTACCCAGACAACAAACTGATTGAAATTGAATTTTTATATGTTATATAAATAAAACAAATAAAACATTAAAAAAAGAAGTGATGGAAGGAGTTGAAATTACAAGAACTTTGGTTGAGAGTGACCATGTCATATTAGGATTCAGTACAATGCCAACACAAGTAAAGAACATAATGATACCAGAGTCTTACATTTTAAAAGAGCTGATTTTAACAAATTCAGAGCTTGGAAAAGATTCCTTGGATGAAAATTCTAAAGTAGAAAACACCTGAAGAAGCTTAGGAAAGTGAAAAATATGATCATAAAAACCGAGTCCAGCACAATACCACTGAAAAAGAAAAACAAGAAATCCAAAAAGAAACCAGCATGGTTGCACAAAGGTCTCTGGTAAACTGAATGACAAAAAAGACAAGTACAAAAATGGAAAGATGGACAGATAACTAAAGCAGAATATCAGCAGATAGCCTGAATCTGCAAAAATGAAGTCAGGAAAGCAAAGGCTCAGAATGAACAAAGATTTGTAACAAAAGTCAAACATAATTTTAAAAAGTTTCTTCAACATATGAATAACAAGAAAAAAGTCACGGAAACAGTCAGTCCACTAAAAGAAAATGGCAAGAAGTAACAGGCAGTCAAGAGAAAGCAGAGCAGCTTAAATCATTCTTTGCATCAGTCTTCCAGCAAAAAGAAACTATAGACCAACCTAACCTAAACATAACTATGTTTAGACAAAATAAAAGACAAAGACAAAATAAAATAATAAAAAACCAGATCTGTGAACATCTAGAAATAAACAAAATTATAACTAGTAGCCAGCATGAGGTTGTTAAAAACAGATCATGTCAAACCAATCTTATTTTATTCTTTGACAAAGGGACTAAATTAGTAGGCTATCAAAGTGTTTTGGACATAGTATATTTAGACTTCAGTAAGGCATTCAATAAGTAAATAAGTAAGTAAGTAAGTAAGTAAGTAAGTAAGTAAGGCATTCAGTAAGGCAGTAAGATGCAGTGGCTCAGTGGCTAAGATGCTGAGCTTGCCAATCAAAAGGTTGGCAGTTCAGCAGTTCAAATCCCTAGTGTTATGTAACAAGATGAGCTCCCATTACTTATCCAGCTTCTGCCAACCTAGCAGTTTGAAAGCATGTGAAAAATGCAAGTAGAAAAATAGGGACCACCTTTGGCAGGAAGGTAACAGTGTTCTGTGTGCCTTTGGCATGCCAGCCACATGACCATGGAGACGTCTTTGGACAGCATTGGCTCTTCGGTTTTGTAATGGAGATGAGCACTGCCCTCTAGAGTTGGGAATGACTAGCACATATGTGCAAGGGGAACCTTTACCTTTACCTTTTAACATTCAACAAAGTAAACCACCACCTACTTCTTGGTAAGCTAGAAAAAAATGGAATAGATAGCATCACAATGGATTTGTAAGTGGCTGACAAACTGTGCTCAATGAGTAATCCTTAATGTTACTACATCTACATGGAGCAAAGTAAGCAGTGGGGTGCCACAAGGTTCCATTTTAGACCCGGTACTCTTCAATATCTTTATAAATGACTTATATGAGAAGGTGAACTGATCACATTTTCAGATGATAAAAGCCATATTTCAGATGAATAGCCAACACCCTAGATGATAGCAATAGTACTTAGACTTATATACCACTTCACAGTGCTTTACAGCCCTCTCTAAGCAGTTTACAGAGTCAGAATATTGCCCCCAACAATCTGGGTCCTCATTTTACTGACCACGGAAGGATGGAAGGCTCAAGATCTAGATGGATCTTGACAGACTTGAACACTGGGTCCTATCTAACAAAATGAAATTCATTGTAGAGAAAAGTAAGATCTTACACATAGAACCCCCAAAAGAATACCTACAGATTATGTGAAACCTGACTTAAAGCAGCAACTATTAGAGGGATCTTGGAGTCCTAGTGGACAATCAATTAAATATGAGCCAATAGTGTGCAGTCAAAAAAGCCAATGCAATCCTAAATTGCATTAACAGATGGATTGAATCAAGATCACATGAGGTACTAGTACCACTTAATAAAGCTTAATAGACCACACCTAGAATACTGCATCCAGTTTGGGTCACTACAGTCTAAAAAGAATGCAAAGAAGAGCAACAAAGATGATGGGGGACTGGAGGCTAAAACATATGAAGAAGCATTGCAAGAACTGGGCACAGCTAGTCTAGTGAAGAGAAGGATCAGGGGTAACATGATAGCCGTGTTGCAATATTTGAGTGGCTGTCATAGAGAGGAGGAGGACAATCTACTTTCCAAAGCATGTGAAGGCCATACAAGGAACAATGGATGGAAACTGATCAAGGAGAGATTCAACTTAGAAATAAGCTGAAATTTTCTGACAGTGAGAGCTATCAACCAATGGAACAGCTTGCCTTCAAAAGTTGTGGGTGGAGTGTGGTGAATCACTGGAGGCTTTCAAGAAGAAACTGGACAGCCACTTGCCAGAAATGTTATAGGATCTCCTGCTTAAGCAGAGGGGTGGACTAGGTGACCTACAAGGTCCCTTCCAATTCTGTTATTCTGTTCTGAAGTCTCTATCATGTTTCTTAGGAGCCATGTAATTGGCAAGGTGTGTGAAGGCCCAATTTGCTAAGTGTCAGAGTTGCCCCAGATAGATCCCTTAGGAAAGAAAGGCCCTTAACTCCATTTGATTGAAGTGATAAGTTATTTTACTAAAGGACACTGCTTGCAGGCTAGATCTAAGTTTCCCACACGAAAAAGGTACAAAATGTTTCCCCTCATCCTAGCCCTCTCCCCATGACCAGTGAATATCTGCTAAGGTCTTTTGAGAACACTGAGATGTTTGGATTAATCCACATTCTTTTTTCAGGGTACATGGCCTTGGGTACAGGCACAAACTGGTTCCAAGCTGCCGTATTCTTCAAATCACCTGGAAAGAATTCAAGGATAATACTGATAATTTTTTTGACAGTTACAGAGCACTAAACTATATTCAGTTGGTTAGCAAGCTTTTTATAGCATACAAGACTTGTCATCAAGGATTTATTTTCTGCATTCACATTTGGATTTCTTTCAATAACTAAGTGCAGTCAGAGACAAATATGGTGAAGTTTTCACCAAGACATTTTTATTCACCATACAGCATACAGGGAAATCTACAAATGCTAGACACAATGCTGTCCCGACAGCCTATATTGCTAGTTAATTCCACTTGGTGTCATTTTCTTTGATCCTTGGTGCACCATGGGGGGAGAGGGTGAACTAGATTCAGAAACCAGATTTAGGAGAAGACCTCCAAGGTCCTTTCTATCTCTATTATTCTGAAATTTGAATGGATGTAGCCAGTGGGGGGATTCAAATATTTTTGCCACCGGTTCGGTGGGTTTGGCTTGGTGGGCGCGCTTGTACGCATGCACACAATTTGCGTGCATGTGCGCACCAAACATGCACTTTGCACAGGCACAGAGGCATTTGCACAGGTGCAAAGGCATTCTAACTAGCCTCCTGCAAGCCTGCACGATGCCGGTCACTTCAGCAGCTGCCACGCGGCACTATTCTGTGCCGCACAAAGCAGCTGCGCTTCAAATTCAACAGATAAAAGTGAGTATGGGAACATGGGTGGGTGGGTGGGACAAAAAGCAGAGCGGCGGAGAGAATCGGTTCGGTCTCCGCTGCTTATCGCTGCTACCGGCTCACCAGAACCAGGCCGAACTGGTAAGAATACCACCACTGGGTGTAGCATAAACACCAACTTTCAGGAAGCCAGATTTTTGAAAAAAATGTTCAGTGCCATCTATTCATTCAATTTATTCAAATTCTCAGTCTAAATATTTTTGTATATAATGCAGGAAAGAAATATTTCCACAACTAGCATAGCAAAGTGTTGTGACTCGAGACTTGAACCTGATCAGTCAGCAGATGTGGGTTCGAGCGATGAAGAATATCTGGCACTGAGATTCGAGCCTGCATTATTAAGTGACTTAGAGGGGAGTCAAGTAGAGGGAGAGGAGTTGGATTTGAGAGATGAACCTGATTTATTGGAGGTTTCAGAGTCCACTCCCTCTACTTCCCCAATTACATCTCAGGTATTAACTGTTAATCAGGAAAGTGTGTCAGAGGTTTCAAGTGGTGAGGAAACTGCCGGATGCTGGATGGATGCCAGAACTAGGAGAAGATTGAGACGTCAATCTCAATTAGAAAAGAGACGTCCAGCAAAGGATTAATTAATGAGACTGACATGCCCTCTCTTAGAGGATATAAGGGAGCGTACGACTTTGTAATCTTTGCTGGAAAACAAAGTGAATTTTGCCTTGGAAAGAATTGCGTCTGATTACTGCGTTGTGATTTACGAACTATACAGAATTGCCGGACAGATTCTAGGAGGATTGCCAAGGAACTGTGATAACAGAGCAATTGAATCTTCTGTCTCGGGTTTTGTTTACGTAAAGTATTTGAACTCTGTAACTCAAAGTTTTCATCTGTGGATACAGGTGGGACAGAACAGCAAAGTATACCATTTACTACAAACTATGTCCTAGAAACAAAATTTCAGAAAAATCCTACATAATGAATGCTTTTACTGTCCTCTAGACTGATTGTGACAAAACCAGTAGCTACTGTGATATGCTACATAAAATTATCATATCTTCATTAGCTTAATATCCAGGCCTTAATGACTCTTTTTATTTCAAATATTGTCTAATTGTTCAGAGCAATTCAGGCTCTTATCAAGTCAGCAGGTGTTGTTTAATAGCAAAAATTGATAGAAGTTCACTTGGAACAGTTTGACTTGATTAAACTTCCTTTAATGTTTAATGTTTAAACAATAACTGTTAATTTTCCTGTTTATTTCTTTCTTCCTATACTTCCTATGGTCTTTACACAGAAGATATAGTGCTAACAGTCTCAGTCTTCAACATGATTTATCTAAATTAATAAAATTTCACCTGCATTGGCCGTGTTTAACTTATCTTTTAATCCATTTTGTTTTATTTATTTTAGCTTTTATTTTATTTCTGTTTTTTATTATATAAGTCTAATTAATGGCCGAAATAAAACTGACTGACTACAGTTTGTCTCTTAGGCAAAAAATGTAGATTACAAAATATTGCTGTAGTTTAGCAAAAACATGGATACTCCCAAATCCCCTATGTCAGATTTAGCCATTTATTTTCAGAAGATTTAGATTATGTCATTAGGAATAACTTTTTTATTATATCTGCACATTCTAGAATGTTAAGAAGGATATTGATGACAATCTGATGAGTCATTCCAGTTATCCTGCTCTACTGACTTTGAAGAGTGAAGGCAACCAGCAAGTGATGCTTCAGTCTCTGAAATCTATGGTTCAGCATGTTTTGGAACAAAAAAAGAAACTAGAAGAAGAGCTGCAGGAGTTTAAAGAGCAGATTGAGGAAGCTGGGTTCTCTTCCATTTCTCAGCTAAAGTAAGTCAGACTGACACCAGAAAATATCTGGGCATCCAGCAATCTGAGTTCTTATCAGAGAGCTCAATACATTTCAGTATAGAAACATAAAGACTATTAGGCTTGCCCCAGCTGGGGTCCTTAGGAAAGAAAGACCCTCGACTCCATTTAGTTGGAATGATAGGTTCTTTTACTAAAGTTAAGGGGTCGCAGCTAAAGAAAAGCTAGATATGAATATTCTTGTGCAAAGGTTACACTTTCCCCCTTTCCTCAACCCTCCCTCGTGACCAGTTCATCAATGTCCAATGACTTTCAGATAATTTGAAAACGGCTTGGCTGTTTGGTGTGACTCAATGCAGTTTCACATTTGTTCTCAGGCCAGTGTCCTTGAAGAAGACTGGTGTATTCTGAGCTTGGCACCTCTGGATTCCATTAAAGCTGTCACCTTCACCTTCCCACCTTTTATCTTTATGTTCCCATCAATACTACTTTACATTCCCTTGCCCTTTCCCCCCCCTCCCTTGCATTTTATGACAGGATGCCAGCAAAGCATAGAAGCTGCAGATGACACCTGACATTCTGCCCCCCTTTTCAGAGACATTAGTCCTATATGAAGAGAAAAAAATGGGAAGGGAGAGAAAAGAGAGAGTAGACTTAATTTGTTGGCATTCAGTGAGGTTTATCTGGGTGTCTATCATGGAACTTTCGAAGAAGTTTTGAGGCACTTATGTGCTGAATGTCTACCATTCTATCTCTGAAGGGGGAAGACTTTCCAAGCTACTAGATATTGGATTTTTGCTCTGTGTGTGCAAGAATCTAAAATGTCTTTGACTTCAAAGAGTTGCTCTCCTTCAATCAGGATGGGATCAGGCAGTGATTTCATGACAGGGCATAAAGGATAGCTAGTTGATTGTTTTAGTAAGCTGCAATAGAATACCAGATGAATGCATCTACAGGTTTTTGACAGATCAAGTTGCACTGTTACTGGATTAATAATTTTGCTGATGGGGAAAGGGCCAATGTACTTTGGACCTAACTTCTTTAAAGATTGTCTGGATTATAGGTACCTTAGTAGACAGATAAACTTTGTCACCAAGTCTGAATTCTTTTGGTTTAGAGCGTTTCTTGTTGGCTTGTTTTTATATGATTCTCAAGCTTTTTCAAACACTTTCTGGACTACTGGCCTGTGTTTTGTGATTGTGAAATCCATTCACTAGACTTGTGGTTTGTGATGTAACTTGAGGCAATTCAAGGATAAATACAAAATCCTGCCCAGAGGCCATTTTAAAAGTAAATCCCATGCTGTCATGTACACTGTTATAATATGCAACCTCAGCAAAAGGAAGGTCTGTCCAATTATTTTATTGATAATTAATGTAGCATCTCAGATATTGTTCTAGGACCCCATTTGTTTGTTCACATAGCCCATTCATTTTTGAAAGGTGGGAGGAGCTAAGCCCCTTCATGATTCCTAGTAATTTTAGGAATTCATACCAAAAGAATGAAGTGAATTGAACGTGAGTTCTAAAATGATTGATTCTGGTGCCCCATGAAGTCTGTATAGATGTTGCATGAATAGCCTAGCTAAGGTGCATGCTGATGGGATTTTTTGGCAGGGCACAAATGTACTTGTTTAGAAAACAAATTGGTTATCACTCAAATTACTGTGTTTCCAGAGCTTTCCAATAGCTCCACTATAAAGTCCATTGAGATCTCTTTCCAGGGTACTTGGGTTGGAGGATTCCCAGTGTTTTTCCATGGTGTCTTTTGACTGAGGCACAAACAGGATGGCTACATAGGTTTCTGTGTTCTTTTTGAGTGATGGCCACCAGACTTGACTATTTATTTTTATTTTATTTATTTATTTGATTTGTCAATAGGTATAAGTATATACATAGTTATGAATACATGAAATGGGTACATATAAGAAAAATAAAACGAACAATAGGACAGGGACAGTAGGCACATTGGTGCGCTTATGCACGCCCCCTACAGACCTCTTAGGAAAGGGGTGAGGTCAATAGTAGACAATCTAAGGTTAAAGTTTTTGGGGGTTGAGGAAGAAACTACAGAGTCAGGTAGAGTATTCCAGACATTGACCACTCTGTTGCTGAAGTCGTATTTCCTGCAATCAAGTTTGGTGCAATTAACCTTGAGTTTGTATCTATTGTGTGCTCTTGTGTTGCTATGGTTGAAGTTGAAGTATTCATTGACAGGTAGGACATTGCAATGTATGATTTTATATACCATACTTAGATCAGACCAAAGACGGCGTAATTCAAGGTTTTCTAGGCCTAGAATTTCAAGTCTGGTGGCATAAGTTATTCTACAACAAGTAGAGGAGTGGAGAACTCTTCTTGTGAAATATTTCTGGACTTTCTCAACTGTGCTAATATCAGATACGTAATGTGGGTTCCAGACTGATGAGCTGTATTCGAGTATTGGTCTAGCAAATGTTTTGTATGCTCTAGTTATTAGTGTGGTATTGCCAGAGAAAAAGCTACGTAGGATTAGGTTAACAACTCTTAATGCCTTTTTGGCTATGTAGTTACAGTGGGCTCTAGCACTTAGATCATTTGAGATGAGTACTCCAAGATCCTTGACAGAGCTTGGATCATCAACAAGATCTTGACTATTCAGCTTGTATTTTATTTTCTGATTTTTTTTCCCAATATGTAAAGACAGGGCATTTATTTGTTGAGATTTGAAGTTTCCATTTGTTTGACCATTCTGATACATAGTCAAGATCTTTTTGAAGGGTAGCAGTATTGTCTGTGGTATTGAACAGCTTTACATCATCAGCGAAAAGAACGCAGTTGCTCTTGATATGATCACAGAGGTCATTTATGTAGAGTATGAAGAGAGTTGGTCCTAGAACACTGCCTTGGGGGACACCACTATTGACAGGTACAGAATTTGATAGGACACTCCCAAATTTGACCATTTTTTGTCTGTTTGACAGGAATGCTTCTATCCAGTTATGCAGTTGTCCAGAGATACCATAAGATTTTAGTTTTAGGAGTAGTTTGTCATGTACCACTGAATCGAAGGCTTTACAGAGGTCTGTGTAGATTGCGTCTATTGCTTTGCCCTGATCGAGTTGTATAGTCCATATGTTTTTGCAGTGTTAAGAGTTGCAGATTACAGGATAGTTTTTTTCTGAAACCAAATTGTTTATTAGAGAGTAGGTTGTTTGTCTCTAAGTGGAGGATAATGGATTGGTTAATAATTGATTCCATGACTTTACAGGAGACGCAGCATAAGGAGATTGGTCTGTAATTTTCAACTAGGCTGGGGTCTCCCTTTTTGAAGATGGGGATGACTGTGGCTTGTGACCATAGGTTAGGCAAGGAGCTGGTCCTGAAATATTTTTCAAAGATTATGCTTAGAGGTTCATGAGATGTAAGTTTTTTTACAGAGCTAAACTGTTTTTGAGTCATGGCTTTTTTGGAGGATGACAGTGGCTCTCGAGGACATAATTTGCCTGCTACCCATGCTAAGCCATCACATAGTGTGCACTTGGCCTGGTGGGTTTTAAACCATTCATCTTTCTCTAATTCACCTTTCAGCACAGCAATCAAGTTGTCCACAACTTGGGTTTTAAGCTTCCCTTGCCCCTTGTGATGGCTGGGACTACCAGCTGCTGAGATGGGATAACTGGTCTGATGACTTCAGGTTTGGAGCTATTATATTATGGGAGCCTTGATAGAGCATCAGTCAGAAAGTTTTTTCCCCTCTAGGTAATACCATAACATTAAATGGTTAAAATTTTGGCCCTACTGGACTTGTTTACGGGACAGGTGTCTCCAGGGCCTCTAAAGTTTTCTGGTCTATCCACATTTCAAATGGAGCTTTGCTTCCCTCTAAGAAATGTCTCCAAGTTAGAAGTGCCCAATGCACTATGTAGGATTCCTTCTGCCACAGCACCCATCTGAGCTCAGTCTCAGTGAGATTTTTGGAGATGTAGATGCATGTTCATTTTTCTGTAATAGAACAGCCTCCATGGCTACATCGCTAGCATCAGTTTGGATGATAAAAGGGGCACTTGGATTTGGATTTGGATTAGCACCGGCTAGGTGGCAAACAAGTGCTTAAGTTTTTTTAATGCGGTTTGGCACTCCATGAACCACTTCAGGGACTGGCTAAGCTTAGGTTTCCTTTCCCCTTTGGTATTTTGTAGGGTGGTGATGGGTAGTGCTATTTGCACAAATGATGGGATAAACTGACAATAGAGGTTAGCAAATCCCAAGAAGCTTTGAAGTTGCTTCCTGGTACAGGGAGGAATCCACTCTAACATTGCTCTCACCTTTTCAGGGTCCATTTCTATTCCCTCGTGAGATTTGTAATACTCCAAATAATCAATTTTACTCTGGTGGAATTCACATTTAGAATATAGCTGAGTTATCTTGCAAAGTTTCTTGTACATGGCTCACATTAATTCACATGCTTGGTCATAGTCTTGGTGTTGAGCAAACTATCATCTAAATAAACTAAGCCCCCTCCCCTTTGTACAGGTGTTCATGCAACACATCATTTATCAATTGCATGAAGACAGCACCCAAAAGGGAGCATGCAGAATTGGAAACATCCTATATGGCAATTAAATGCAGTTTTCGACTTGTCTCTATACTTGATCCTAATTCAGTAGTTGTAAGGACTTGCCTCTCCTACCCCCTCAAGAAATCAGAACTCTTAAAATAGGCAGCATTTCAAAAGGAACTCTTTTTGGGGGGAGATAGTGATAGCAAGAAGAATAGGGAAGATCTGAAGTTCCTGCTCAAAATTGTTAGATTAAAAGTTGTAGAAACCTCTCCCCTGTGTCCAGTCCAAGGTGAGCCAATTCGCAGGTTTGAAGTTGTTTTGGGAACTTTGAACTATGAAGGTGATAAGAAATTGTTCTCAGGCACTGCTTGCTCATTCCTCTGGGTCTGAGATAAAACAGATGCCCAGACTCATCCCTCCCCACTCCCATTCCCAGGAAAATACATCAAAATAAAGGAAAGACCCAAAATAAGAAAATA